ATGATAGCACATCATACAACAATAGAGACTCACAATAGGCCATGATAGCATAGAAGGCTGTCATGTATTTACATTTTTGTATACTTCACATATATCCTGCACAGACCTTACCATTCTGGGGTATAAGTGAGAAGATAATTAGTTGTGCAACGTTGAACTGTATGAAATTGTATCAATATTTGTCTTTTATATTGTGGTTGTTTTCATGTGGCACAATTAAACACATAGTATTGTGTACTATTACACAGTGTTTGAAGGTCTTCTACATTTTCTCATCTTTTATAGTGCCACTGAAAATCCTAGTTATCATGTGTGTTTTATGCCAGTTTCTTTTTCTTTCTTTCTGCTCAATTTAGGGGTCTTCCAATTCAGATTTTCCAAGCATTAATTTCTTTCGACTTTTTCGTGTTCTGAGGCTTGTTAAACTTCTGAGTCGAGGAGAGGGTATTCGAACACTTCTCTGGACATTCATCAAGTCATTTCAGGTGAGTTGCTAAGTTACAATTACTTTGTGTCCAAGCATTGGAAAGGTGGTAGTCACTATTTCATAAAATGTCCTACCATCAAGTTGCATATATTGACAGATTTTCAATGAATACTGATGCTTTGTGTTTGTCTTTTGCTATGCAGGCTTTGCCTTATGTAGCATTGCTTATAGTAATGCTCTTCTTTATCTATGCTGTTATTGGTATGCAGGTAAGTTACATCACAGAACCATCGTCTGATTGGTACTCGGCTGAAAAAAACTTTGGTAAACAAACCTGAAAATGATAAATTATCCCCCTAAGCATACATGTATATTACCTTAAACAAGAGCTGACATAATAGATTTTGTTGATGTGACAGCTGGGCACACAGGGACACAACACCATGAAATACATGCTGTAGCTATTTTGTTTCTACTTGTGAGATTTTTCCAAGGATGTTTTCTTGGGGAGTCTGTTAGATTGGCGGTCACATCAATTTATATTTCAAATGTGCACAGCCAACTTTGTTATTCCTAATTATTCAGGGTTTTTTCAAGGTTATGTACCAAACTTATAGTCAAGTAACCCCAAAATATTCCCAAATCATGCTCTTCTATAATTGTATTCAGTACTCTTAATAAATGCATTTGCAAACACTAGCTATTTTGTTTTTAAAATGTAAAAATGTTTTACTGCCATGTATGCCTTGAATGATTGCTAACCTGCATGTCTCTGTCAATGTGTTATTACATGTATTATGTATTAAGAGTGTTGGGTTGGTGACTGACCTGAGCTGACGGTGTTGGGTTGGTGACTGAGCTGAGGTGACAGTGTTGGGTTGGTGACTGACCTGAGCTGACAGTGTTGGGTTGGTGACTGAGCTGAGCTGACAATGTTGGGTTGGTGACTGAGCTGAGGTGACAGTGTTGGGTTGGTGACTGAGCTGAGCTGACAGTGTTGGGTTGGTGATTGAATTGAGCTGACAGTGTTGGGTTGGTGACTGAATTGAGCTGACAGTGTTGGGTTGGTGACTGAGCTGAGGTGACAGTTTTGGGTTGGTGACTGACCTGAGCTGACAGTGTTGGTTGGTGACTGAGCTGAGGTGACATGTTGGGTTGGTGACTGAGCTGACTGACAGTGTTGGGTTGGTGATTGAATTGAGCTGACAGTGTTGGGTTGGTGACTGAATTGAGCTGACAGTGTTGGGTTGGTGACTGAGCTGAGGTGACAATGTTGGGTTGGTGACTGACCTGAGGTGACAGTGTTGGGTTGGTGACTGACCTGAGGTGACAGTGTTGGGTTGGTGACTGAGCTGAGCTGACAGTGTTGGGTTGGTGACTGAGCTGAGCTGACAGTGTTGGGTTGGTGACTGAATTGAGCTGACAGTGTTGGGTTGGTGACTGAGCTGAGGTGACAGTGTTGGGTTGGTGACTGACCTGAGCTGACAGTGTTGGGTTGGTGACTGAGCTGAGCTGACAGTGTTGGGTTGATTACTGAGCTGAGTTGACAGTGTTGGGTTGGTGACTGAGCTGAGCTGACAGTGTTGGGTTGGTGACTGAGCTGAGCTGACAGTGTTGGGTTGGTGACTGAGCTGAGCTGACAGTGTTGGGTTGGTGACTGAGCTGAGCTGACAGTGTTGGGTTGGTGACTGAGCTGAGTTGACAGTGTTGGGTTGGTGACTGAGCTGAGCTGCCAGTGTTGGGTTGGTGACTGGGCTGAGTTGACAGTGTTTGGTTGTTGACTGAGCTGAGCTGAGCTGAGCTGAGCTGACAGTGTTGGGTTGGTGACTGGGCAGAGCTCACAGTGTTGGGTTGGTGCCTGAGCTGAGCTGCCAGTGTTGGGTTGGTGACTGAGCTGAGCTGTGCTGAGCTGACAGTTAGGTTGGTGACTGGGCTGAGTTGACAGTTAGGTTGGTGACTGAGCTGACAGTAATGGTAGAAAATACAGCATCAAGACATGATACCATCTAAGTGTTAAATAAATTTGTTTTAATTTCTAATTGCACATTATCACATGTGCATTCCATTAGTCAAACCATTTCCAAATCATTTCATAAATTCACCTAAAATTTCACTTTAACATCAATGATATTATTCCTAATCATCATAATAATACTAATTATGTTTGCTCTAACCTAAAGTGTGTGTTTATTTCTCTGTTGTTTTATTGCTGCTATACTAACAGATGTTTGGTAAAATTGCCATTAGTAATGATGATTCTGCCATCAATAGAAACAACAACTTCCAAACATTTCCAGCGGCTCTCTTAGTATTATTTAGGTAGGTACTTATGACTCCACAAAATTAAAATTGTTAGTTTTTTTTATTAAGTGTTTTTTGTTTTCCTGTTGGTGAGTATAGTCACTGTAATTATGTGTCTTTTGTTTTTCTTTCTTTTTTTCCCTTTCTCTCCATCCAGCTGTTTGGTAAGATCGGCCTGAGGGAGTACTATCCAATAAACCGAAACAACAACTTTCAAACTTTCTTGCAATCGTTGTTGCTTCTTTTTAGGTATGTAAGGTTGTCACATGGTGCATGTTGTCTGCTGCTCTCTTTTCTCAACATTTTGATAAATGTGTGTCTTTGAAAGTATTCGCATGAACTTTGACCACCATACTCGCATGAACTTTGACCGACACACTGCCCACATCATAACATGGTATTGATAAACGGCAACCGTTGTGTGTATGATATTCAATTTTAGGTCTTAATTTTGAGCCAGTCCAATATTTATTTTTTTGTTACTAACCAAGCAGTATAGTAATGTTGAGTTGACTTATGTCACATTGAATATAATTAAGAGCTTGTTGACTCCCATGTGCGAGCTCACAATGTGAGTCTTTGCAGTTAGTGTGTCTGTGTGTGTGTATGTATGTTTGTCCGTTTGTTCCACTGCTATCTCAAGAACCAAACATCGGTTTTTGATGAAACCTGGTGCATAGATTCTCTGGGCCAATGCCCAGATTTGATTAGGTTTTGGTAAAACCATGCATATTAATTACCTAATTTGCATGATAATTAGCTGATTTTTAGCTGTTCCATGACTGCTCCACTGATATCTAAAAAACCACTCATTGGATTTTGAGTGAAAATCTGTGTAATATTAATTACCTAATTTGCATAATGATTAATCAATGTTTGGCTTTTCCACTGATATCTCAAGTACTAATCATCACATTTCAATAAAACTTGGTACATAGATATCATAGGACACTGCACAGACCTGATAGTTTTTAGGGTAATATCAGTACATATTAATTACCTAATTTGCATAATTAATTTATGTTCAGCCACAGTCCCTCCACAACGTGGAGGGACTGTGGTTCAGCTTTTGATATTTCAAGTAGTAATCATCACATTTCAATGAAACTTGGTACATAGTTACTTAAAGACTGTGCAGAGACCTGATTAGTTTTGGCGTAACTATTTGTGCATATTAATCACCTTATTAGCATAATTAGTTAATTTTCAACTTTTCGTCTGATAACTCAAGTACTGATCATCATATTTGAATGAGACTTGCTACATAGATCCTCTAGGACTATGCAGAGACCTGATTAGTTTTAGGGTAAATAATTGTGGATATTAATTACCTAATTCGCATAATTAGTTATTTTTTTCCATGAATGTTCCACTGATATATAAAGAACCACTATTTGGATTTTAATGAAACTTTTAAAGAGTATTCGTCATCACATTTCAATGAATCTATAACTATGCAGAGACCCAATTAGTTTTTGGTAAATATTTATGCTTATTAATCACCTAATTAAAATAATTAATTAACACTGATATCTCAATTACTGATCTTCACATTTGAATAAAATTTGGTACATAAATGCTCTAGGACAATAGACAGGCCTGATTAATTTTGGGTTGAAATTTGTTCATAGTTTTTTTGTTCTAATCACATTTCAGTTACCTGATTTACATAATTAGTTTTCAGCTATTCCATCAATATCTCAAGTACAAGTAATTTTGAATTAATTTTTAATGTGTCTTCAATACTCTCAGCACATGGGAGTTCTTTCTAAGCTTTCTTTGATTTTTAGAATTGGATTCAGTAAATTATACTTAGTATTGATGTCACCATAACGCAGTTGTGATCTTTGGCATCATTGTCAACTGTGTTCTGTCTGTTTTTGTCTTTCTCCACAGACTGTTAGGCATTGTCAGCTGTACATACTGTCTGTTTTTGATTTGACTGTAGGTTGTTTAGCAGTGTCAGATGTGCATTTTTACCAGTTCTATGGGGCTGTTTTGTAGTTAGTCATAAATCACAGCATATGCTATTGGTTGCTCATAGGAATTTTCCTGGATGTGCAAGGTTTTTTTAAAACTCCTCTGAGATGCCTTAGAGGTGCAATGCTCTAAGGTTTCCTAACATGGTTTTACAAAACTTTGCGATGCCTTGGAGGTGCAATGCTCTCAGGTTTCCTAACTTGGTTTTACCAAGCTTTGAGATGCTTAGAGGTGCAATGCTCTAAGGTTTCCTAACATGGTTTTACAAAACTTTGCGATGCCTTGGAGGTGCAATGCTCTCAGGTTTCCTAACTTGGTTTTACCAAGCTTTGAGATGCCTTAGAGGTGCAATGCTCTCAGGTTTCCTAACATGGTTTTACAAAACTTTGCGATGCCTTGGAGGTGCAATGCTCTCAGGTTTCCTAACTTGGTTTTACCAAGCTTTGAGATGCCTTAGAGGTGCAATGCTCTAAGGTTTCATAACATGGTTTTACCAAGCTTTGAGATGCCTTTGAGGTGCAATGCTCTAAGGTTTCCTAACATGGTTTTACAAAACTTTGCGATGCCTTGGAGGTGCAATGCTCTCAGGTTTCCTAACTTGGTTTTACCAAGCTTTGAGATGCCTTTGAGGTGCAATGCTCTAAGGTTTCATAACATGGTTTTACCAAGCTTTGAGATGCCTTTGTGGTGCAATGCTCTAAGGTTTCATAACATGGTTTTACAAAACTTTGCGATGCCTTGGAGGTGCAATGCTCTAAGGTTTCCTAACTTATTTTTACCAAGCTTTGAGATGCCATAGAGGTGCAATGCTCTCAGGTTTCCTAACTTGGTTTTACCAAGCTTTGAGATGCCTTAGAGGTGCAATGCTCTCAGGTTTCCTAACTTGGTTTTACCAAGCTTTGAGATGCCTTAGAGGTGCAATGCTCTCAGGTTTCCTAACATGGTTTTACAAAGCTTTGAAATGCTTTAGAGGTGCAATGCTCTAAGGTTTCCTGACTTGGTTTTACAAAGCTTTGGGATGCCTTAGAGGTGCAATGCTCTCAGGTTTCCTAACTTGGTTTTACCAAGCTTTGAGATGCCATAGAGGTGCAATGCTCTCAGGTTTCCTAACATGGTTTTACCAAGCTTTGAGATGCCTTAGAGGTGCAATGCTCTCAGGTTTCCTAACATGGTTTTACAAAGCTTTGAGATGCCTTAGAGGTGCAATGCTAGTTTAGACAGGTTTTCAGATTAAAGAGTTTTTCAGTTTACATAATGAATCTCATACACAGTGTACGGAGGATTTTTAAAAAATTATGAATATTAACAAATTGGTTTTATTTTTACAGCCTGCAACATGTATTAGGTTATACTTTTATATTACTGTACCCAACATTAGTTGGTGAAATTAATGTTTTGTTGTCATAATTCAACGCCTGTATTAATTCAATAGCAACTGATTGTCCCTGTAGCAGGTGTCCATTCACTGTACTTCTCTCTATCTTTCTTGTTTGTAGATCAGCCACAGGAGAGGCATGGCAAGAGATCATGTTAGCGTGTGCTAATAGTCCAACAGCACTATGTGATGAAAGATCTGATTCAGTTGGCACATGTGGTACAGCAGTCTCCTATCCCTATTTCATCTCCTTCTATATACTTTGTTCCTTTCTTGTAAGTATAAGTTGTAAGCCAGTTCCCATTTCTTACCAGTGATGCATATTACTAGGAATTGTATATATGGTAAACTTTTTATAGTGAAATATAATTTGCAATCAGTGTTTGAGCCAGGCTGGGTGTTGATGTGTTCCTTTCTTTCTTCTCTGAAGGTCATTAATTTATTTGTTGCTGTCATCATGGATAATTTTGACTACCTAACTAGAGATTGGTCAATATTAGGTCCCCACCATCTGGATGAGTTTGTCAGAGTCTGGTCTGAATATGACCCTGATGCTACGTAAGTTAAATTAATACATTTGTCACATTATTCCCATAAGTTTCAGCATGCAACATTGGTTGTATTTATCCTTTTCACCACCAGACTTTGTCCAAATTTGTCTGCACTTTTTTCTTAAATTCTTCAATATTTCTTGAAATATGCCCTAATTTTGGAGCCAACAGACAAAATGTGAGTCAATTTACAGTTTTTACTCAAAAATGTTGGCTATAGCTGCCCCAAGCTTCTGAAGGAAAATGCAAAATATAAACAGGAATGTTTTGTGAATTTGTGATGAAAAGAGGGAACTGGTGGTGAAAAGGTTAACATTGGAAAGCCTCAATGGATAGCTGTCATTATTGACTCCCGTGTGCGAAGCACAAAAGGGAGTCTTTGCAGTTACCCTGTCTGTATGTCTGTATGTATGTCTGTATGTATGTATGTATGTATGCCACTTTTTTTGTTCCACCGTTATCTCAAGAACCACTAATCAAATTTTGGTGAAACTTGGTACATAGATGCTCTGGGATAATGCGCAGAGTTGATTAGGTTTTGGTAAAAATCTATGAATATTAATTACCTAATTTGCATGATAATTAACTGATTTCAAGCTGTTCCATGACTGTTCCACTGATATTTGAAGAACCACTCATTGGATTTCAATGAAACTTGGCACATGGATGCTCTGAACTAATGCGCAGATTTGATTAGTTTTGGGTAAAAATCTGTTAATATTATTAATTACCTAATTTACATAATGATTAATCAATTTTCGGCTTTTCCACTGATATCTCAAGTACTAATCATAACATTTCAATAAAACTTGGTACATAGATGTCATATGACACTGCACAGACCTGGTAGTGTTTAGGGTAATATCAGTACATATTAATTACCTAATTTGCATAATTAATTAATTTTCAGCTTTTGATATTTCGAGTAGTAATGATCACATTTCAATGAAACTTGGTACATAGTTACTTGAGGACTGTGCAGAGACCTAATTAGTTTTTGGGTAAATATTTGTGCATATTAATCACCTTATT